AACACCCAGACTCTAAATTTCATCTAAATATATCTACGTTAGTTCAGGAATTATTAATAAAAATGAAATTTTTACACCCTGTATATACGAAATTAAGCACTCTAAGGCATGCATTTATATGAATGTTTTTACTTATTTTTATCTTCAGAATATGGAAGAGAGAAAGTTTGTTCAGTAGGTAAAAGACCATACCAATACGTGGTATACTGATGCTTCCAAAACCAAAGCAGGAAGAAAGATAGGACTATTTTGGCCGAAAACTAAATACTCCGAACCAATCGGCACTTATTCCAGCATAAAAACTACCGGAAACAAGATATGGCCATATTATCAGAGAGTCAAACAGCCTTAAAGGCGATCAACTCAGTAACCATCAATTTGAAGTTGGTCAAAGAATGTCTAGAGAAGCTGAACAAAGTAGGCAAAGAAAATAAAGTCCTTTTACTCTGGATGCCAGCCCACAAAGTGCTAGAAGGTAATGAAAAAGGAAACGATCTAGCTAGAAAAGGAGCGAACACTCCACAAACTGAACCAGAACCGTTCCTCTTCCCAAGTGGAAACCAACTAAAAGCGGATTTTAAGAATCGGGAAGACTTCATCCGTAACCTGGAATGGGAATCCTCCAACGGTCTAAGATACACGAAGAACTTTCTCAGGACTTACGACCCAGAAAAATCAAAGATTTTCCATGAATTAAGTAAGAAACTCTTCGAATTGTCATGGTATTTTTAACAGGGGTGCAATAACATTCAATAACTCAACTTTCCCGGATATTCAAGATAAGAAAAAACAATATTTTATAGCTTTAAGGGAACATTCAGGCTGAAAGAGCGTCGAGCGTCGCGTCGCGTTTGCCCCGAGACAACCATTCGTGCCATAAACTTTGGTACGACTGATATCGGAGATGGAGAATTACCCTCCGTAAAACGGTCTTAAATACTGGCTTTTGTCAAAAAAGACAAAGACTGTATGATGAGTTATAAATCAAGAAAAGGGGGACACAATAAATCCATAAGGGCGCTGTGATTAACTTCCCCTTTCATATAATCTACATCTGCAGAATATTGTGTTAAAGTTAATTACAGTTCGGACCACCCTGTAAAAGCTTGGTGCATTTCAGCTGATTTCAACAAATTTCGACCGCAGCGCTTCAACGGCAGAAATCAGAAATTATCCGCCCTGTTGATCTCGTACCGCAACGCTCAGCGGACGCTAGCGCAACGCCAAACGCGACGCTGTCTGCCTGAACGGTCTAATTTAAGTTAAGTGAATTGATTCCATTTCGACACGCGGACGCGACGCAAACGCGACGCGACGCTCGACGCTCTCAGCCTGAATGTACCTTTAGAGTTTCTCACACCGATTTGGTCAAAAGCAAAAATTGATTCAAGCAGTTAAACAAGTGAGTAAACAAAGTGCTCGTTACATAATCAAAAAATTAAATAGACATATACTATGAGAGGGTAAAATATAATTTGCAATATTAATGGTATACTTTTTTAATCAACTAGTGATTAAATGTTTTATGAACATCTTCTAAAATTATAATTATGTACCTTTAAAAAATCTTTATACTTAGCCGAAATAGTCCCAATTATGCTCCCACTAGCAAAACCGGTGATGGTGTGTAGCGAACATAGTTTTATGCTCGCTACTGTAGTTGAACTCATCTAAAAAGCTTTTTTAACTGGAATAATTATAATACAAGTTAGACCAGGGCCCGAATTCTGTAACTTTGACATAAAAACGTTACGCTTTCAAAGCGGTGAGCGCAAGTATTCGATCAGCGAAACGCAAGGCAATCGATTTTGGTATTCTCGTTACCATGCGAATCGTGTTCTGGATACGCGTTGAGCACATATTGGCAACATCACAATTTCTAATGTAGGTAATAGTCAAAAGTTGATAACTGACGGATGTAACAATGAAAAATGTCAATGTTACGTGAATTTCATAACCTATTGTTGAGTTATGTCAAGCTATTTTTCTATGGATATGTCATTATTCTTATTATGCGAGGGAAGTGTTGAAGACGCTTCTCAGCATTTTCGATGTTTTGAACAATATTTATAGCTGCCAAGTCGTAAATTATCAATTACTTATTGAGGAATTTATAGAAGAAGTAGTAGTTTTCACTAAAGACCAAGATAACGCACAAAATCACAATTTTTTCGATTTTCACTGACAGTTCGACAAGCAAAACGATCCTTTAAGGCAACCGTTTTCAAAGCGCTCAGCGCAATCAGTAAAGACGCTAAGCGCGTCAGACGAGAATACCGAAATCGTTAATTAAGTGCGCGCTCAGCGAATATTAATGTCATATACGCTGAGCGTCTAAAAGCGCTTAGCGTTTTCAAAGTTACAGAATACGGGCCCAGGGGCCGTCCAGAGCCCGTATTCTGTAACTTTGACATAAAAACGTTACGCTTTCAAAGCGGTGAGCGCAAGTATTCGATCAGCGAAACGCAAGGCAGTCGATTTTGGTTGTTCAAAACATCAAAAATGCTGAGAAGCGTCTTCAACACTTCCCTCGTATAATAAGAATAATGACATATCCATAGAAAAACGTAACATTTTTCATTGTTACATCCGTCAGTTATCAACTTTTGACTATTACCTATATTAGAAATTGTGATGTTGCCAATATGTGCTCAACGCGTATCTAGAACACGATTCGCATGGCAACGAGAATACCAAAATCGACTGCCTTGCGTTTCGCTGATCGAATACTTGCGCTCACCGCTTTGAAAGCGTAAAGTTTTTATGTCAAAGTTACAGAATACGGGCCCAGCTGAAGATATCAAAATATGCACTTTTTTATTTTCACAAATTATACTTCCTTCACTTTTAGAATAATTAAATAATACATTTTTCGTATACTCGCTATTAAAACCCGTGTATTTGTATATACTAGTTGTTTACGATATTCTCCGACGGTGGCAGCACCGGCGCAGAATGCACCAAGCCTATATTTTCAATAAATTTAGTAAGTAATTATTTCTAAGTTAAAAATCGAAAAACTTTAGAACGTTGTAAGTTCACACCTCGGTTTCCCAAGCCCTTTTGTTATTGTTTCCATCCCAGTTCTGCTTGCACAACCGTGTGGAAGTTCTAGTTCGTAAACAACTCCCTGCACGTTGTCCTTCGTTCCCTCTCCATTTTGTTCTGCGCTCGCTTGCGAATGATTAGCATACGTTTTCCCTTACGTAGTTTCAGAGCAACTTGGTCTCGCTAAATCGGAAACTTTATCCAATTTGCATCAATGCTCTCGTGGATGCGTCAAACCGTATAACACGAGATAAAACTTCGTCTATACCTCTCACATAATTTCAGCATTATATTAGTTTCATACGTAGACATGTATAAAGATAGACTAATCCAGTACATTGATTTGTTTTGCTACAACATTGCAACTAGGTACTCTTTTTTAATTTAAAAGCATCTTATAAAAAATTATTTAAAATATACATTATTTTCCAAATTTTATCATTAAACTTAGGCAGCATATATTCTGCAGATAAAAATATATCTCCTAAAATCCTCAAATGCTTCGTTGGCGAGATACAGGATGTAGAAAGTAAAGATTTCAGTTCACGTCACCTTTTTGCTGCCAGGGCTAATCTGGGCGGAGCCTACTTTGTTTACGCGGAATCCGAACCGCGGTCCCCGGCCATATCATGGTCAATGGCCTACTGACTTGGCAAGTGTCTAAATCGACTCTTACTCATGAGATATCCGATCTCATCCGGCCTTGAACCGGCGTGAATGAGCTGTGTGTGTCAATAGATTTTACACTTTTGCCTTTTTTGGACAACAGCACGATACAGAGTTTCGAACCGGTCACCTGTCCATCCACCAGTATCGCCTTACGTCGTTTAACTTCGGTGTTCTAATGGGACCCGGTGTTTCGACGTAGAAGTTTAATTTTTATTTCGGGGTTTTCCAAATAATTTCTGAACTAACGTAGATATGTGAGTGAAAATTGGAGTTTTTTGACATGGGGAATTTTATTTCGATGTCAATATAACTTCTACTTGTAGGGGACGTCACCTACGTATTTATTATCTAGTTTGAAAGGTAATAACTTTTTGTTCGTACCTGAATAAAAATATTGTGAAAAAATATATATTTCCACCGTTTTTTACGCAAAAAATGTCTCTTCTTAAAAATCGTTATGAGCAATGATTCTTGAGATACTTGGAATCGAAATAATCAATAAATGTTTTCATTAATTAAAATTGAGCATGTTATCATGAGACTGAGATCATACATTTGAAATGTTTTTGTGCCGATGATGTATTATTTATCTGACGATCCATAGGAGACTTTATTTTCAAAATGTTTTTTTTTCAGGAATCAATTCAAGAGTTTATTTAATATATTTAATTTTTGTAAATATTTTTTTCTGTTTCTTATGAATGTATTTACTTATTTACTGCTACTACTTACTTTGATACACATACTATTTGATTATGTGGCGCTGGAATAAACAGTAAAATCCGTCGTAAAAACAAGCATTAATTTTTTATTGCCCAATAAACTACTCGGGAGGCCTCCACAGACGCACAGTTTTATAGCTAAGGGCACCTGAGCAAACCTGGTTTCGGTCGACTGCCCTTGGTCTGATGTGTGCGAAATCAGACTCTGCTTGAATTTGGCCTGCGCCAACTTCGAATCCTGAACATATGTAGGTATGTATGCTTGTTCATTTTTCGTCAGACTTTTTTTTTCAATTTGTTTATATTTTCAGTGCTTAGATCATAGGCAGTCGTCTACTATGGGGGACCTGATTTATACTGGTGGCTGGAGTATTTTAGCGTTGTACAAATTACTTTTTTTAAGGATCCAATTTTGCAAATAATTCAAAATTTATAAGCGGAAGAGTTTCAAAGTTGATAAGTAGCCTAATCTAATCCAGTAGTTTAAAAGGTTTGATTAATAATTATATAATATATATAAACAAGTAATTCTCTGTAATTATTATATTATTATTAACATACCTAAATTCTGCCAAAGCACCCCACGCAGAGGCAAATCCTATTTCTTTTATTTTAACTTTTTTGTCCATCTTCCAAGTCAGCAACGTGTTGTTGTGGGGTACTGATCCATTTCCGAAAGATATCATTGTTTTGTCCCACGAAATCCAGTAAGACTTCCAGACATCTTCGCCCAGTACATTAGGAGTTTGAATAGAACTTAATTGAATACCATAATCTGAAAAAGTATGATATATCTTTTATTAAAAGTACCCGAAGCATAACAGTGAAGCGAAGTAAGAGTTTTTTTTATTAATCTTGTGCTACGGATGACTAATTGATTGAACGATTTTGAACGATTGAAACCAATCGACCTTAATTTCATATTCTTATGCCTGTACCCTAGAAGCAAACTATGTTAAGTCTAAAATTGGCATATATTTGAGATATATACGTCAACTTTTTTTACTTAAGTTTTTACGTTCTACCCATTGCTCTTTCTCGTTTTTACGCTATCTGTGCCAATAAATAAAATAGTCGCTTTAAAGTCAAATTAAGTCCGATGTCAGACCTGGGTTAAACAAGGTTATTATTTCATGTAAACGCAGTTTGGCTCAAAAATCTTTGGGTTAGTTTAGTATGTTATGTCTACCGGTACGGAGTGAAAAAATAATATTGATTTTGACAGTTTTGCTGTTATTACAGTTTTACAATTATTGTTACATTCCTGTTCAATGTTTTTTTATTATATCAGTAATATACTTTTATCTGGACTTAAAATGATATCGCTTTATTCATTTTGGCATAAATAGGGACTTAATATAAGTTGGGCTTAATATAAGTTAAGTCCTGTAAATGTTTTTTTTCTAATATAGAAATTTTGTTGTCACTCCAAAAAAATTGGTATAATTTATTTAAAAAATTGTTTTACATTTCATCTAAGTTCAAAATCAGTTGTTCACATACCAACTATTACAATCATAGGTTTAAAAATAACCGAGTAATTAGGAAATAACTTTAAAAAAGAACTTTAAATTCGATTTTCTCAAAACTATGCTTTGTGACTTAATAGAGTTTGCTTCTGGGATACAGATGTATAAATACTGACTGTGTTTGCCTCTTCCAATGTGGCTGACGCTATTTTGAGCATCTCCTATCGTTATTCTGTACATCTTGTCAAGTTTGTTCTTGTTCTCAGCCAGGGCTAAGTGCACAGGTCCTAAATTGCGCGACTTGGTTGGTTTGATCTCTACGATGATGCTGTCATGGTTCTTTGGAGCTGTTATCCATTCGTATTTGTAATTGTCTGTGGTAGAAACCACTAGATTTTCTGTTAGATTAGAAAATTTTCAGTTAAAAAATAGAAGGACACTAGCAACCATTTAATAGGTTTGTTCCAACATAGCAGAGAACGGGTTTTGGTACGGTAACGCTTATGCGCAGTAGAGAAAATGCGTTCAACAACGAGAGAATTGTTTGGCAAACGATAACTTTTGCGTTACAACCAGAATTGTAATTGTTTGAGGCCCGTATTTGGAACGGTGATTTAGATACCAGCCTAAAAGCAAGAACCGAAAGAAGTAATCTGCGTATTAAGACTGTGTGTCAGCTGAATATTGTTTTCTTTTATTTCTTTGGCTATTTTCTGTTTTTAATTTGCAAGTTTTATTTTTCTGTTTTTAATTTTCAAGTTTTATTTGATATTTATCATTTTTTTATACATATTTTAAATAAATATTTTTATATTTTTGTACTAGATATGATGAGTGACGAAGAGGACAGTGATATTGAGAATGTGAATACCACTGAAAATGATTTGAAACTTTTATTAAATATAACAAAGGTAATTTCGTATTAATTAAAAAATAAATAAATTTAATTAATCCTTAAATAAATCCAATGAAATAAAAAAATCAAAATTTATATTGAAAATATACAGGGTCGCTCATATGTATGGGAACGGTCGATTATTAAGTATCTAAGTAAGAGGTAATGCAAACATCTTACATTTCATCTAATAATCGACCGATCCCATACATATCAGCAACCCTGTATATCTAATAATAATAAACCAATAAAATAAAACGAAAATACGTAACTGTTCCTTAACTAAATGTAACAAAACTTTGCTCACTGGGCAATTACCGTTCTAGAATGGTATACACATTTCTGTGTTGGAACAAACCTAATATCTCACAGAAATAATTTACCGTTGGCACAGAAATAAGAACTCTCGGTGTGTACACGTTCCACTCCCTCTGGATAAACCTGGAACGTTCGGGAATGCATCACTGCCCCCGAAAGTGTGTTGTTGTTTACGTTTTCCAGGCCCTCGCAGGTAGAGCTGGTGTATCCGTTCACTTCCACTGAAAAACCAAATCAAACCTTCCTAACCAAACCAAACATTTTCCTTGATTTAGGGAAGAACAATCTTCGGATTATTAGGGGAATTTTAACAGGACACTGACTTTTTAATGAACACCTCAGTAGATTGAAGCTAAGAAAAAACGACATACTGTATATATTTAGACCGCCGCGCCTCGCGCCGCGCCGTTTTTATAGTTACGGTAATAGCAAAACATTTTCCCATGCGCGTCATCAATCATATCGAAATTGACACTAAAGTCTATATACCTGACTAAATGAAATTTTGGCAAAAATGTTTAAATTTGTTGTATAATTTCAGGTACCGAGCAGCTCTTCGTTTTATTTTATAGAGCAAATGATTGTAACAGATATTTTATTTATATTAAAGCTGCAAAAATTCGTTTAAACCGATTTTTTTATCGCTATGTTGGTTACATGGCGCCGTGTTAAGCAACGTTGTCGTTTATAATTTGACAATTATCATAATGTCAGTCATTATTTTGTATAATATCGTGTAGTTGTTGAATCTTTTTGAGTAATTCTCGGTTTTTACTTATTTTCATAGTCTTTTTTTTTAAATTGTATTTTTAAGCACAAACAGTTCTTTTAAGAACTAAATTTTCGAGTTTTTGTAATGCATCTCTTGAAATTGTGTGTTGAAAATATGTCGAAGCATTTAAACAGTCGAAGCAAAAAGCTTGTAGCTTCCCTGATAAACTATTTTGAACGAGAACGTGACAATAAAGGTGTTTTATTACCCTGGATTGCACTCAGAGAAGTAATATTGATTGGTAAGCACATTACAGCACTTTTAAAGTTATTTCTACGTTAGTTTTTAGTAAATTCTGTGATTATTAGTTTGTGCATTAATGGCACCTTCTTACTTGTTATTACCACTTGTGGTATTGTAAATTTTTTATCAATAAATAAATAAATAACCCATAATAACGCATAACATTCTAAAATAATCTTCACAATGTACAAGTTTTTGCCAATATGTAATTAGTAAAATAAGCTATAAAACAAATAAATCAATTAATTACTAAAATATTAATTATTAAATTAAAAATAAAAGTTAAAACTTTTTAAGAAAATTATATAATAAATATGTATATTGTTTCCCAATTTTACAGTAAGATTTATCCCATAAATCTATCACAATCTGGCAGCGCTGTCGCCATCGCTTGTCACTCAAAGTTGATCACGTGCATTGGGAATTGTTTACCGTACCCAAATAAGCATTAATAACAATAATAATAACACTTTGTTAACAATAATAACACAAGCCACATTTAATGTAGATCTAACGCAATCCGCAGAAATCGCAAAGATCATCGATTTTTGTTGAAAACGATATTTGATCGGGATAAAATGTAAATAGTTTTGTCTGTTTTGTCTCTTTTAAGTTAGATGGTCATTGGTAACAACTCATGTTCTGGGCCATTCTGGTCTCTACTATGTATAAGCTACGTTAAAAAAAGGATGGTGATATAATTTACCTGTCATATTTTTAGATCCAGGTGTAGTTACTGTGACTCGAACAACCAACGATGTTGCCCCATGAGGTCCTAATCTTAGTCGTTCAGTGACGTAGAGCAATCCATTGCTAACAAATTGGGCTCCTTCGCTCAAAGCCAAAAGGGCAGTAACCTAAAAAGAAAAATTCGTGTTGTAACTAATATTAGGTAAATTAAACAATGCCACGCTTAAAGCTTGATTTTTCATGCGTCCGTTATCCGTTGATACGATGGTCCGACGGCGCGGCGCTCTGATTGGTCATAGCGTTTCCGCGTCACTTTTCATCCGTAAATTTTTTACTCCAGCCAGGAGAGCATAAAATATGACATATTAAATAGGCAGCTTTCTTAAAATTCTCTCCCAAAAACTCTTAGACTATATAAGTAAAACAACAAAATCATTATGGAAATAAAAATATAAAATGACACCAATTACTAGCAAATCGTACATCCGATGAACGGAGGCATGAAAATGCAATAAATTTAAAAACTGCGTAATTTTCTAACCAATCTAAGTCTTTAAATTCAAACAATAAAATTAATATCGTATCATCGCATCGTATCGTCAGATCGGATGCACGAAAATCAAGCTTAAGTCATAATATTATTTAAGTGTATTTTTCTGCATGTAATTTCTTTTCACATTATTATTAAAAAAAATCCGTTAGTGGGAATTTGAGAGTGTGCTTCATAAAGAGAGAGCCGAATCGACTCTTTACATAATGCAAAGAACTTTCTCAATTCCAGGAAACCAATCGACTTGTAATTAAACCAAAACACTCGAAGAAAAGCAAGAATATTATTTCCGATAATTCAACCTTTTCAAAACCTCTCTTTTTCACTCCCCCACCATTTTATTCAATTTTCTTGCACCTTGCTAATGCTTCCACCCTTCCAGAGTTGCCAGCCTTTCATCTGCCCTCTTTTTCGCTTAACTCTGGAACAATAAACCAATCGGGAAGTTTGCTGTATCGAAAAAAGTTTTACCTCAGACGTAACAGATATTCTTTTGTGCGTTAAAACGATTCGGGTTTGCTTTGAATGGCGTTTTTAGAAAGAAAATCTTTTTGGGGGAAGTTGTTTGGATTATCTGCACTGTATCTTGTATTGGGAGATCCTCGATCTTTTTTTAATGGATGTCGGCGTTTATCGAAATAGATACCTTTTAATATAAATTTAGAAAATTTTGAAAAAAAATATTTGGAAAAATTTCCTATTTATTATTGTTTCATCTAAAGAGAATTTGGAGAATAAAAAATTATACTTTGATGTGTATAAGTATATTTGGATACTTACTTTTGGATGCTTCCAAACCAAAGCAGGAACAGGGATAGTAGTATTTGGGCCGAAAACTAAATACTACCCTAAAACCCTACCCACTAAAAACCCATCTTTGTGAAACCTCAGTTTCCGTCTCGGAACCGCCCGGGGCATTACTTCAAGACAGAGGGTTGTCTTATGTGTGCATACTATGTATTAATCGTTGCGCCAACTCTTCCTGAAATTTGGTTTTCATAATAACCGTCAGCATTTCCGCAACAGCTATGCTCTTCTCTTGGTCTTCACCCATAAGTGCCCCGACGTTATCCAGCGTGACCTTGGTGCCGCACCTTGCCTCTGCCACGTCCCTAAATTCCCTCCATCTTCCACACTCGAATAGAGTGTGCGCAGGATTATCCTGCTCCTGGCAGTACACACAGCGATCGCTATCTCTTTTTGCCCATCCTTTTCAGGTATGTACCAAAACACCCATGACCTGTGATAGCTTGAGTAAGAAAGTGGTCTACCTCCACCCATCCATTCTTATGCCACTGCGCCACATTTTCAATAAATTGCTTTGCCCAGCCATCATATCTCTGCCAATCCTCCTGCCATTTCATCAAGATGTTTTCTCTTACTTGCAAGCTATGTTCCTTGCCCAGCCTGTAGGTGTCGCATCTTTCCTCTACCTGGTGTACAATAGGTATGACACCAGCCAATGCCAGTACTGCCGTTGTTGGCGCAGTGTGATAGGCGCTCGTAATACGTAAGGCCAATCTCCTAATCATAGATTGTAGCATATTTTGATAGTGTTGATATTGTATAGCTCTTCTCCAAATTGGAGCGGCATACAATATCATAGAAGTCACGGCCGATGCCATCGTCCTTCTCTTCATAGCCCTAGGTCCGCCAACATTGGGCATTACCCGCGACAGGGTGTTAGTTGCACGTGTGGCCTTTTCCACTCCTAAATACTCCAAACCAATGAGCACCTGCCCTGGCATCCTTCAGGCAGATATCTCTGCTATTGAAAGGTGCATACAACTTATCTTAGATAAGAACTATCGGAATCACGAAATACCTATCTTATCCGATAGTGAAGCAGCCTTAAGATAATCAACTCAGTAACCATCAATTCGAAGTTGGTTAAAGAATCCATAGAGAAGCTGAACAAATTAGGCAAAGAAAATAAAGTCCGCCTATCTAGGTGCCAGCCCACCAGGGGATAGAAGGCGATGAAAAAGCAAACGATCTAGCTAGAAAAGGAGCAAACACAATACTAGCTACACCAGAACCTGCTTTCCAAGTGGAAACCAACTAAAAGCAAAACTCAAGAGCCTGAAAGACTCGATCCGTAACCTGTACTGAGAATCCACCAATGGTCCTAAGGCACTCGAAGAAATTTCTAAGGACTTACCAAATCAAAGATTTTTCTTGATTGTAGTAAGAACAATCTTCGGATTGTCACAGGACACTGTCTCCACAATGAACACCTCAGTAGTTTGAAGCTAAGAAACAACAGCGAATAGCAAATGCAGATTCTGTGGGGAAAATGGGGAAACACCAGAACACCCTATCACTGAGTGCGCCGAGACGACAACCATTTATGCCACACACTTTGGTACGACTGATATTGGAGATGGAGAACTAACCTTTGTAAAACCATCTCAGAGATACTGGCCTTTGTCAAAGCCCTGAGACTGTATTATGAGTTATAACTGCAAAAAGGGGGACACAATAGATCTGTAATGTCGCGGTTATTAACTTCCCCCCTTCTATATAATCTACAGTCTACAACTACACTTACGTCTATGCATGAGTTAATGTTGTTTCCGATTTTGATATCCACTTCTAGTGTTTCTCTAACTCTTAAACTTGGAGGCATGTGAAACTCAACAGTCATTGGCCTGAAATATCGAAATACAAAAACATAAAAAATATATTACACATGTATTTTACCATCAGTATTATTTATTAACTTTTTCAGAACTTTTAAACATACTTTTAGTATTGAAGATTTATTTTATATAAATAAAATATTTTTTGAACGTGGTGAAAATATGTATAATCAATACCAATTAAACTTTTAGTTACGTAATTGAGGGCGCGATTTTTGAATTCATTGTTGCCAATCATGGACATATTCGGCGCCGCGCCGTGCTGATTAACTGGAATTTAAAATTCGCGCTGGGGATTCAGGTGGTAGCTCTGGGGCGCTATTCTGTACAATCGTCGGAATCGGTGAGTTACCGATAGCTATCGGTACGTATTTGCATATAGTAAATATGTGTTAATTGTTGTTGTCATAGTTACCGATCGGCCCTATGACAGATATCGCAAATTTGTACCGACGACTCTCGGTTCTCTACCGTGAGGTTGACAAGGGCACGGTAGAGAGATTTTCGTCGGTACAAATTTGCGATATCTGCCATAGGACCGATCGGTAACTATGACAACAAAAATTAACACATGTTTACTATATACAAATACGTACCGATAGCTGTCGGTAACTTACCGATACCGACGATTGTACAGAATAGCGCCCCTGGTGTAAAAAATGTCAAGTTGCCACATTTATTTATTTATTTTCTGACATTGTCGTTTTGACACTTTAGTTTTGTATTACAAGTTTTTAGTTAAACGAATTGTGTTGTGATACTTTAAGCTTAAAAAAATTTACTAGCAGACCTTGTAGTCGAACATTGTTCTTTTTAGAATCTCTTTTAGTACGAAGTGTAACAAGATAGGTTAATACGCGCTGCAAAAAACGCATCGCAACCTTATTAGAACATTGTGAACGGAAAAGCGGTACTAATAGCCCTTTATGTCCCTTAAGTGCTGTTAAGGAGGTGAGTTTTGTTGATGGAAATAATATTACTGTTTATATATTTATAATTAATTTATTTTTATTTTCTAAAATATTTTAATTAAAAGAAAGTATGTAAAAGTAGGCAACGCTGTGGGCCAAGCTTAATCGAGTGACTAACAGTTTAATTGGTATGAACCATAGAGAAAGATAATAAAAAGTGAACTTAAGCTTCATTTAGAACCTCAAAATTTGTGGAATAAATTAGTGGTTTCAATTACACTTTATACTATATGAAGCTTAAGTAAGAAAAACTTACCGGAAAACTTGTAGTTTTACTGGCGCGGAAAACCTGAGTCCGGCTCTGGAAACTGTCAGCGCCCAGATCGTCCATTTTCCCGCTTCTTTGGGAGTTGTTATCGATAATTCTGTCGAGGAAGTTTCCGATCTGGAAATACGTCAATTATTTTTGACATGGAAGGTCTCTTTATCACTTAGAAAAAATCATTTATCTTTACGGCAATTTTTCGTTTTTTTTTCGAGGACAGTTTCCACTATGGGAGTTGTTGATTAGGAGGAAAGATGATTATTATTTTATTTTGTTTTTGTTAGGATACTTCTTAGAGTAGTCCCAGATCTTAAGACACACGTTTCCACGTTCAGATTTTATAATAGATAATTTCGTCAGTGTAAAGTCTAGTACAGTTCCCGCCAAATTTGTGGTCTGTGTAGTTAAAAATATTCAGCATAAAGATCGCAATTCTCATCTCGTCGATGATATCTTTATCAAAGCCGCCACTACACGTTGAGATTTGGACTGAATCGACTTGTACTGTCGGACTGTACAGGGTGGGTCAAATTGGACGCTTTTAAAGGGAAACACCCTTTTCTATAGGAGATAGACGAAAACTAATGTCGGGGTCAATCAAAAACATGATGGTGAAAACCGCAATCAATATCTGTTACCGTTTCGGAGTTACGGGGTGTTTTTCAAAAATGTGCATTTTTAACAAATTGCTGTAATTTTTTTGCTATGGAAAGTTTTGTATTTTCATGAAAACATTTTCAAAGCATATTTTTACGTAGAATTTAATGGTTTAAGTATAATTTTATTAAAACGAATAATTTAAGAGTTATCACCAGAAAAATTGATTTTTTATTTGAGACACCCTGCATATTTTTAATTAACTGAAAAGAACTTAAAATTACCTTTCCAAAATATAGCACACTTGATATTTTGTTATAGTCCTCTTTGAAATACAGAACTTCTAAAAGTTTGTCACTTTTAACTAGTAGGCTTTGGATCACTTATTGATGATCTAATGCCCTTAATGGAACTGGAAAACATATTTTTCCAGCAAGACAAGGTACCGCCTCAGAACGCTGAAGTCATCAGCAATTTTTTGCAGCCAATTTCTGGAATAATTGAACAGCTAACCAAAATTTCAGCCGTTGGTCATCGAGGCCGCCGCACAGTGTAACGAAAACTAAAATAGTGGGACATGGCATTTTTCTTCAGTTATCACTATTCTTGCTGAAATTTTTTGACAGAAATTAAATAATACGACTAGGAATTTTTGCTACAGGGCGAAAAGAGTAAAAAAAGGCGTAATGGAAGGTCAAAAAAATACCAAGTTTTATAAAAGGACTTTACAGGTATATTTTTTTATTTACGAAGAGTTTATAGCTCTTATGGACCAAAAATGTTAACAAATTACTGTCGAACAATCATTTATCTCCCGCTAATATGTCAAAACTCAATCAACATTCCTAAATATTCAAATAATCAGGGATAAATTAGATAAGACTGCAAAACTCAAAGAGAACGACACAAGTGGCAAATATCTTTTAACAGTATTAAGTAATATGATAATATGCGAAAAAAACGTATTCAACTTCAACAAAAGAAACCATAATACACACCTCACAAAAAATTTCGCAACACTTATATTTTTCGTAGTATTTATTCTTGAAACGGTTCAAACATTTTTATGTGAAAAACTTAATTCTAAGGTCTGCCTGAGTTATGATATACTTTGTATTCCTTAACAAGTTGCTATTAAGCAAATAACTTTTAAGATTATTGTTAAATAAGAGAATTTAAGAATACTTTGCAGTTTTCCAAATTAATAAGTGATGCGATAATTTATGTGGGGTGTATATTATTCCAAAATAACATAATATGTAAGGCACTTACATAAAACATGCTTAAAAATCATTCTCAATTTCTTCTCCATCCATATACAAGAGCTCTTTCGCTTCCGGAAACAAGTCTACTTTTTTATTTTTAGAGTGCTTTGGTCCCAGATGTAAAAGTAGAGGATCTGAATATATCAATAAGTTGTGCAATATATCTTCAATAGTTTCCTTACGACCACTCTTCCTGGAAAAATTTTGGGGAACGATCGAAATTCTTTGTTTCTTGATTCTTCTTCGGACATTTTGCCGATGGGTATAAAACGTTCACAGATATCTGCACCATGAATCAAAAGCATATGAATGCTGGGCATATAATACCCACCGTAAAGGGAAACAAATAGTTCTGCTGTCTCTTTCATGTCACCAAACTACGGTCGAATCAATGGAAAACGTAATTATTGCCGAAGAAATTTATTTTTTTCTTCCAGGTTCGGATCTAGGTGGATGAAATTTATATGTAACAGTATACTAGAAGGTTCACTCTATGATATTTTGTATATATAACCTTGCGCGAATGTAAGCGTTTTTTTTTGGAAGTCATAATAAACATGTAGAAACTAGACTTGAAAAAAATTGGGATTTTTTTCAGGTTTGTTGTTGGTAAAAGACCTCTCTTTACGGAAAAAATTGTTGGAATTGAACAACACAAGGAAACTTCTGAAAATAATAAATTTCATTGTATGAAATTTTTGTACAGATTTGGTAAATTAAGAAAACCATAACTTTAACCCGCCATAACTCCCCGACTAAGAGGTCAACTCAAGAAATATCTCACATGGTGGAGCTCTGGGATGTCCTTTATCCATCTATATAGAAAAGTTGATGAATTAATTGTTTTGTTTTTTGGGCTAATGTCCCGCATTTCCCGATTTCGTTACACTGTGAGCCGCGCCGGACTTAGCGCCGATAGATTTTTATCTTTGCTAAAGAATACATTTTCTTATTTTTAAATTGCCCGTATAATCTACACAAGAATTAGAAGTACTTAGCGTTTATGTGAGGGTATCTTTCACCCCTACTGAGTTAATGAATTCCGCGAGAAATGTTCAAAAACGGTCTCGTCTGTCCATAACAGAAGTTTGTAAACCTGTAGCAAAATCTCATGTCTTGGTTTCCTATTTATTTTATTTTATTAGATGTAGTTTAAATGCGTTGATGTTGTTAAATATAGTTTAGATTGTTATAAAATTCTGCATCTCTCATTGCAAATATTATTTTCGTTTTAATAGCTGCTCACAGCTAGAATTTCGTTGTATTACAGCCGGCGCCGTTCAAAGCCTACTTATTCAAAGTGGGCGAATTTTTAAAAACTGGATATCTCGAAGAGGAATCGAGCAAAATAACAAGTGCGCTATATTTTTGGAAATGTAATTTTAAGTCATTTTTAGTTAAATTAAAAAAAAAATGTTTCTTCTAAAAAACATGGTGTCCCATTTAAAAAATCCAATTTTCTGTTGATAATTATTAAAATATTAATTTTAAAAAAATAATACTAAAACCATTAAATTCTACGTAAAATGGTGCTTTGAAAATGCTTTCACAAAAATACAAAATTTGCCATAGCAAAATAGTTACAGCGATTTGTTAAAAATGCACATTTTTAAAAAACACCCAGTAACTCCGAAATGGTAACAGATATCGATGTGCGGTTTTCACCATCAGGTTTTTGATAAAAATTAAGCTTAGACACTGATATTAGTTTTCGTCTATGTCCTATAGAAAAGGGTGTTTCCCTTTAAAAGCGTCCAATTTGGCCCACCCTGTACAGTTCAGATATCGTTACGTGTAGGGCCCTTTTTACGTGATAAATTAGTGAGCTTAGACACTGATATTAGTTTTCGTCTATGTCCTATAGAAAAGGGTGTTTCCCTTTAAAAGCGTCCAATTTGGCCCACCCTGTACAGTTCAGATATCGTTACGTGTAGGGCCCTTTTTACGTGATAAATAAATCAATCAAAAATATCCTACAACCAATAAAAATGCAAATTGATTTTTATTGCAGAGAGACTTTTTAGTCATAAAAGACCTTTTTTATATCGCCGATATTGCAATTCGAATGCTAGTAATGTAAATAAGTCGTTTTAGAGTAAATAAATGGAGATTCCGATGTCGATTCCTAAAGTATCGCTATTCGTATATCAATTTTATGGCCTTTGTGTTTACGTAACGAGATTTCATTATGCACTTGTCGTGAACATTTGCCAAAATTGGCAATTTTCAAGACGAAACGGATCGTACGGTTAAATTTATAACTACTTCGTTATATAAGCTTTAAGTTGGCTTTTAGAACTTCTAAACGATATTGCAGGACTGAAATAAGCTACTCTAATGAATATAAAGGTCTTATTCCTCTATGTAGAGTGTCTGGAATGCATATACATATTTATCTTTTAATAAAAAAAAATTGAGAAAAGCGTATAATTCTATCCCTACATACATGCTTGGAAGACTTCGCAGGCCCCCATCTTTGACGGTTGGTTCTGTTTGACGTTTCAATTGACACATTTGAATTCGAAATTTTGCGGATTTGTTATTTTCCTTTTAGCTTATTTCGTTTTATTTATTGTTGGTTTATTAGATTGGCATTTAAACAAAATGCCAATAATTATAATTAATAAAAATTTAAACAAAAAGAAGCACAGGGACGTGAAAACCGCATCTTTGCATCTCTACCCATAAGCGAGATACCCTGTAAAACACACGAAAATAGGATACCCTGTACATGTTATTTATTATTTATTCTACAACTGTTTCTGAACAAAACAGAAATAGTAAATCTAGAAGGAAAGTGTGTCAATATTTAAATTAACAGTAACATGTGTGTGTTGGGAATTTCAGAAAAAAAAGAGATTACGGTAAAATAGTTAAAAAAAATCTAAAGTTTTATCTAAAAGCTGTTTTAGGTTAAGAGATATTTTTTAAGAACGATTTCGATTTTTTATTGAATATTATTAACCTTCAAACGACATTTATAATTTGTTTTTCTTAAAGATGTATAACGATCAAACGGTATTTTTGAGAAAATATTTCTGGCCAATATGCTTAAAGAGCACCAGCCGTTTTAGTATTTAAATTGAAATATGCCCCAGTTTTCCTGTTTTTAAATTAAAACGTCAATTCACGTCGATGGCCTTTGAACATCTCTTTCTCTCTATATTTCGAAAAGTTTCAAGTTTAAAATTCAGGACACTTTGGTGCTCTTCAGGCAAACGAAAATGTTTTCTGAAGGAAATTGTATTTTATATTTTA